AAATATGATGTGGGGCCATTTTATATTCAGCATTTATTGAATCAAAGATCAGCCTGCCTCAAGATATACAGTACAGACCAAAGGTTTGGACACACCTTCTCATTCAAAGAGTTTTCTTTATTTTCATGACTATGAAAATTATAGATTCACACTGAAGGCATCAAAACTATGAATTAACACATGTGGTGTTATATACTGAACAAAAAAGTGTGAAACAACTGAAAATATGTCTTATATTCTAGGTTCTTCAAAGTAGCCACTTTTTGTTTTGATTACTGCTTCACACACTTCTTGGCATTCTGTTGATGAGCTTAGTGTGAATCAACAATTTTCATAGTCATAAAAATAAAGAAAACTCTTTGAATGGGAAGGTGTGTACAAAATTTTGGTCTGTACTGTATGTAGATTATATGTAGATTATATGTTAATCACACAGTCCTACTGGTCATTATTCTGTTATTAAAATCACTGTGTTTTATCTGGCAATATATCTGAGTTTGTGAATTACTATAGTATTTAGTATATTATATTTATAGTGAAATTATTGCACAACAGTATACCTTACATCATTTGCACCACCTCATCCAGTAGGCGGAGCTAAACGGTAWCTATGAAAAGATCCATCTGATCTCACTGTAATAACTGGAGGATGCTGAAAGTGTTTTGAGGGATTAAGATTGCATGAAAACAAATTTTCTGCTTGTTAGATTCATCTAACTAGTTTAAGGATTACAAGCTTTATGCTCTTGCTGAATCAAAGTTGATGAAAAAATGTGGAGTTTGAGACATTTTCATATTGAAAAAGGCTCATTAAAGCAAGGCTGATTTTATTTTTAACTTTTTTAACCCCTTTGGACAAGGTAATGCAAGAAGAACTTGTTTTTAAAATAGTTAAATGTTTATGTAATGAAGTAGATTTCAATGTTTTCCAGGTTCCTCCCAGAGCTGAAGAGATCACGATCCCTGCAGACGTGACTCCAGAGAAGGTTCCCACTCACATCGTGGACTACTCAGGTAGCACGGCCTGAGGGCAAACATGCAGCGCCCTCATTACTGCTGTAGGAAAATGTTGCACGTGGGACTGAGTGCCATGACTTTAAGGGTTTTATTTTTTTGTTCTTAACCTCAGCAGAAAAGGAACAGAGTAATGAAGTCCTCAGAGATGAAATCATCAAGGTAAAAACATCATCACACACAGATGATCACCATAAAGACTTCATCATAATGAAAACAATCAAAATACAAAAATGGATACAATCAAGACCTTAATATAGCTGGGGATTTAATCTCTTCATTTTTTTGTCCTTTTTATGTATTTATTAAGTTTATTGGAGTCTGTTCTCTGTTTTTGTTTTTTATTTAAATGTTAAGTTTCTGTCCTCTTCATCCAATGTGCACAGGCTAATGTGGTGTGTGTTGTGTACGATGTGACCAACGAGGACACAATAGAAAAGGTAATAATATTTTAAGTGTTTAATGTGATCGAATTTGTAAACTATTTAGATTTTAAAAATTACACTTCTCACATTTGTTTTTCAGATTAAAACCAAATGGATCCCTTTAGTAAACGGTGATGCAGAGAAAGGAAACAAGTGCGTATTATTTGTTAGATGAGTGTTTGTGTTTGACGTCAGACTTGGTAATCTAATCGTTTTTGTTCTGTCAGAGTTCCTATCATCCTGGTGGGAAATAAATCTGATCTGCGCAGTGGCAGTTCAATGGAAACCATTCTTCCCATTATGAACCAGTTCTCTGAGATTGAGACGTGTGTTGAGGTGAAGCTCGGCTCCATCACACGCACCAGCTTACACTGACGTCTCAATCAATTATTTACACAGTTATACTTTTTGATATGTTTGAATGTTTAACAGATATTGTTTCTTTTTTTTCTGTTTCTTTTTTTAAGTGTTCTGCGAAGAACCTTAAAAACATTTCGGAGCTCTTCTACTACGCCCAGAAGGCAGTTCTCCACCCAACTGCTCCTCTTTACGATCCTGAGGACAAACAGGTGAGCCTTATCAGCTCCTGAATTATCAGTTCAAGTTAACTTTTTGAAATGTTTACATTGTATTTAATTTTGTGTCTTTCTGCAGCTCAAACCACCGTGTGTCCGAGCCCTCAGCAGAATTTTTTACATTTCTGATCAGGATAACGACCGTATCTTAAGTGACGCTGAACTCAATAGCTTTCAGGTACCAAACAAAGTCACGTTTTTATTCAGCTTTTATTTCTGACAAACATATTGTGAAAAAAAATCCATGTTTTTCTGTAGAAATCCTGTTTTGGGAATCCTCTGGCACCACAAGCTTTAGAGGATGTGAAGACGGTGGTTTGGAAGAACACCAGCGACGGAGTCCAAGACAACGGCCTGACGCTGAATGGTAGAAAACAGACAGGAACTAAAGAAATCACTTTTCCTGCAATAATGCAGCAAGAACACTAAGGGATGAATTCTTTCCTCTGCATCATTTGTTAAAATAAGCTGAAATTTGCAAAACAGTGACTAAAAGCAAAATGATCAAAAACGTATTTCAAGGTAAATTTAGAAAAACTGTTGCTAAAAATTAAAATTAAACTGCTGTTAAAAGCTGAAATGTTCTTTAAAACTAAAATAAAA